TGAGGTCGCAGAGCAGAACGGGACAATCACCTCCCTCAACCAGCTGGCGATGCTTTGCCTGATTTCCCCCAGGACATGGTTGGCCCTCCTGGCTGCCAGGCCATGGTAGTATGCAAGTCTTTGTTGTGTATGGATTTTTAACATCAATTCTGATCCCTTCTTAGATCTTTTCATTTTATTAGATGAATATCACTGAAGTCTGACCAAACTCTAGATAAACAAGACATCAATTCTGTTTCTGTATTTTCTGTGCACTTCAAGGAAAGAAGATAACTGCTTGAGTGCCTGTATATGTAGAAAGAACTAGACCAGGATACAGTGTTTTGTCTGTATTAAGTAATTTTCAAATTTCACTATTTCTAATGTATTAAAAGAACTGCATCAGCTCCCTGTTGTATTAATTTTAATGTCCTAGCTACCTAAAATTACTAAAAAACTCTATTCAGTTCACATTTTAAAACATTTTAAAATTAATTTTTCAAAATTCATTTAAATTTCTTCTTCTCTGGAATGAAAAAACAAGTCATTTAAACTCTGTTTCAATAATGCTATTTTCCTTCATCTGTTTTCTTTAAATAAATGTATATTAACATGTACAAAACCAGAAAATTAAACGCATGTATTTCACCAAGATGCATCTAAGTCCATGAAAATACGGGGATAATAATTGTGCACTTTCTTAGTCTGATATCAGTGAAGAACATCCATTCAAATACTATGTCTAGAGAAAGCCAGATGTAGTGCTCATGTAAATATAATTCAAAGGAGAGTTCTGTTTGGAGTGTGAAAATGACACATAAATTCTTTACGCACTGTCATACCAGGATTGAGTCAAAGCCAAACAAGCATGTGATTCTTGCTTTGAATACTAGTTGATTGACTGATGTTATAAACCATTTAATGGGACTCACATTCAAAAGACTGCTAAAAAACTGTCCCATTTTAGCATTCTGAGATGTCAGTAACAGGACAAGGTCAAGAAGAGAAATTTAAATAAATGTTTGGGAAATAACATTGTAAATATCTACCAACCATTCTACTAAATAGCTTTTTTTTTTTTTTGTAGTGAGTTATTTAACAAATTCCTTAATCAGATACATATCCCAAAATACTCTGAGGTATATTTGGGAATAGCAGAGCCTCAGTTTCACCCAGATAAAAATTTTATACCATAGTAAATGATCTTACAATTTCTCTTTCTCTTAAGTATTTGGATGCACCTAGATAATCTTTAAATCTACAAACATGTACAGAAGACATTATATATATATAGTTATATATACAAATATAAACATAACTATGAGACATGCATAACACAAGGTAATAAATTAGATAGATAGATAGATAGATAGATAGATAGATAGATAGATAGATATGTTTAAATACATCTAACTTTTGACTGATCTGGATTTTGCAATAGTTTTGTCACATCCTACACTTTTTTCCGCTGTACTTCTTTCAATTTGTTTTTTAACAGTCTACCTAAGCTAAATAAAGATGACCCTAAGTGCAAACAAAACCATTGACAGGAATTAGCATTTTTGAAGCACCTGACATGTTTAAAGTATTGTGCCAGTATTTAATTAAAAGTCCTCAAAACAATCCTCCAGACCAGGAAGCATTTCCACCAGCAATGCTGCAGCACAAGGAAAGAAGTTACCACTAGCAAGAAACCAAATCATCATTAAAGCCCTACGCATAGTCCTGGAAGCAGCAGTAACTTTTAACAGTGGTATTTCTGTTCAGATAAAGCAGGAGGACACAACTGTGATTTCCAGGATTATAATTATCTAGCAAGGTATCACAATGTTTAAATGTACAATATTTAAAGTCTTAAGAGTTATTACCAAATCTGTGGTAACACTGAAATTTTCTCTGTATATGAATATAGTCCAAGTAAGGTCACATCTCCACCAAACCAGACATTTCACTTAGCTTTAATCACCTATAATTACTGTGTCTAATCTAACTTAGTCACGCAACCCATCTTTAAAGTCAACAGAGAGATGAGCAGCTCTGGAGAGTGATACATCTCACTAATCTTAAACACTCATTTTAGGATGAGAAATGGAATGGGATTCTGGGGATGGATAATTGAACATAAACTTTAGCTGTCAGTAAGAACCACTGCAGAGAGTTCCTGCAGAGCCAGGGCTGAGGGACAAATTTCTGTCTGACTCCATGGATATTACAAGAAATGCCTAATTTACACTCCAAAAAAAAAGGCTCTTCATGCGTATAACTCAGAGACACAATTGATAAGACAAGAATGAAGAGGTACTTACCAAAAACAATAGAGGACTCACAGTAGTAGTAACCATTTGGTTGCTTTTTTTTCAACATGGAGCAAAGATCAAAGCGGTGCAAGATTTCATGTCCAAAATAATGGGTTTTGAAATCTTCATACAGGCTGGAGTCAATTTTTTTCACCTTTAAAAAGCAACATAAAATTCAATTAGCCGTTCTACTAGAGGACTGAAATTTTTTATTTGATTCCTACAGTTTTCATTTTAACCAGAAGTATAGTTAGGATGGAAAACTGTGTCAAGATGTAAAAAGAATACAGAAACAATAATATGCCAAATCTCCTGTTTCAGGTAAGCACTGTCTGCTTGCAGAACTTAAACAATGAAATAAAAGTGTAATTACTCCTACTTTCTACCACTTCCTCTTCAGTCCTGTAGGAAACAAACAGACATGTACAATGCTACAAGTGCTTTAATTTTCAATGGTTTTCAACAGTGCTCATGGAATATGTCACTGGGAATTACTTTTGCTGTCATCACTTGGGCATGCTACTACAAGGAAGAATCTCAAATGTATGTCAAGGGCAGTCTTCTGAGTCTTTAAAATCACTACACAGGAAAATGTGGTTGTATTTTACCAGGACTAGACTTTTTTAACTCAGTAAATCTAAAAACTCACCATAATTTATAATATTGGAAAAATACAGTTTTGCATATATAAAGTATAACATATTAAATTTTCTATTGAGCTGTTTTCAGAAAACATAATTTCAGTAGTTATTTTAAGAGTTTAGGACTCCTAATTCCTTTGCATCTTAAATAAAAATACATGATCTCTGTAGAAATTCGCTATTTTCTCCTTCAATCTACTTCACAATAATGCTGTTTGCTATTTAGGTATCATTACTGTGTGCTACGGGATGTTAGCAGCACTGCTTCCTCTAGTATCTCCAGCCCAGGGCTCCCTACTGCCTGGCTGCTGGAGCCCAGTCCAGCACCCTGGAGCACCAGAGTCTTGATGGATGTACCCGTTGCTTTCACCTCCCAGAGACACGCACACATGCTCAGAGGACACAGACATCGCTGGCTACATGGGATACCACTGCCCTCAACAGCACCCACAGACAGGGCTCACAGGAGACACAGGACTGCACCCTTTTACAGCCAATTCTGTCCACTCCTTTTCTGTTCTTCCTCTGCACCTCCCACATCCCCCATCCATTTGCATAGTACAACCAAGCCCCTCTCCCAACATCTCAGACCCTGACCTTTACATTCCCAACAGCTGCAAAGTCACAGTTTGCCTGTAGTTTCTTGATAGGCCCTCAGTTACTATGACTGACAAGGTTTGTTTCTTGGGTTTGTGTGTTAAGTTTAATAGGTTTGTGTCTCTGTATATTTTGCTTCTGTCCTCCTCCTTTCTCTTACCATCTCATTTGACAAGGTCCTAATCCTACTGCAGTGAACATCCCCACACTTGACATGTCTTTATTAGTCTGTGGGGCTGACCAGCTTTGGCTCTTGTTACCCCTTCCCTTATATGTTGGTCAGGTTTGGGTCTCTGTGTGTGGTGCTTAGGGCCTCCTCCTTTTCTTATTATCCCCTTCTGCACTGAAAAGGTCCCTCCTCAGCAAACACCCTGAAAGGACCATACACTGTCTCCTTCCTCACTATACCGTTGCACTGTATGCATTCAGCTGAGCATCATATTCATGCATTTCTTGTGGTGCTTCATTTAAAGTTACATATATGCAAGATAGGCTCAACGTTGGTATGTCTACTGACCTTTTACTTAGGTACAAAATTATTGGCTTCAGAAGCACTTTGCCTCCATAAGTACTCACACATCTGGTTCTCTAAAGTCTAATTTAGAGACTTTTGGTCCCCATAATTTCACCTTAGTGAAGGTCAGAAATGTCTTTGTATTTCCTTAATCTCTGAAATTATGACATCTAGTGGTGGATGTTTTTCCACAGAACACAATCTCCTTGGAAGACTACATTCATTCCATCCTCACTATCACTATTTGAAATTTGATTTCTGTTGCTAGATTAGTCCTTATGTACTAAAGTTATTTTGAAATTAAATCATCATTCCTTGTTTTTTGGCTGACAGTTCTTTGAAATACAGTCAGATATCAATTAGTAATTAAAAAAGACCTTTTCAGCCAGGAGAACACTTGTCAAAATATGAAGCCTTAAGTATTTCTGGAATGAAATGAGGAAAAGATAAAAATCACAACTTCATGCTCCAATAAAAAAATAACATTTACAAGAGGTAGGGGTGTTGCTTGTCAAAGGCAGATTGGTAAGGTATGAATCAAATGCTGACTGCTCAGGAATTGAGTTGTGCTTGTGATGCACTACTGAACGGTATTTGGAAAAGCAGCCATAGGAAAACTATATTTTTAGTAACTGGAGCAATTGCTAGAGTGCTGCCTGTGTGATGTGAAAGGATGAAACAAAGCAGGTGCATGGGAAGGGAGAATATAAGAAGTAGAGATGAAAGAGAAAAGCTGTTACCACATGGGAATAGTACGGATGCTGATTACAGAGATAAGC